GGAGGAGGTCAATGACCTTTGCTAAGCTCAAAAGAGCCTTAACATCCAATTTTGAAACCTTCTCTAGTCATTAGGACTGCGAAGCACTGAGATATCTAAGACGAGTTCCAGCTGTTCGTTACCCTTTATGCCTATGTAGTCTAGCACCCAGTAAACGCAGTACGATATGAAATTATTGCTTAACTGTCGACATATATGTTGATGTTTTAGTTATAGTTTTCTGCCTTGTCAGCTTTCTCGATAGTGGCGGTCTCCGTCTCAAAAATGCTGTAGTACCCAGGAAGCTTGTAGGGTTGAGGTCTGCGGCCTAACACCACGCAATATACTCCGGAACCCACTGCATCATCCATCGATCTTCGTAGTAAATTAGTAGAATATTTCTCTAGAATAAGAAAATGAGGGTCCATTTCATCTGGAGTATTGCTCACAATCTCTCATGGGCGACAGTGTTATAGCCATTGAGTTTGCAATTTTTGGAAGCGAGCTCTGAAGATTACTGCCCCTGTGCCTGCCTCACATTTCGATTTATCAATGAAGATATAAAAATATTTAATGACAGAAAGAATTGGTGATATTCACGAGGCAGTGGTTTCGGTGCTCGTTCATATTGTTTGTTCAAACCGAGATTTTTTTTTACATTTTCTGCATTATAGTGAGGAGGCTAGATACAGTTGTCTAGAAATGAACTGGTTTTAATTCATCCATTAAAAACCAGTTAAATATCACTTCAGATTTTTATTTCTTCATTTCTCTTATTTTTTTATTGAGCAGTCACTAGAAGTTTGGCAGTTCCCGAAACATTTCTATACTGGGTACACCGCACTTCAGCAGCTCTGCCATTTGTTGATCTTGCTCGCCACGTCTTTTTCCTTGATTTGTTGCCTTTGTTGTCACACATTCGGCGCAGTTAGTTGGCCATTTCTTTTACGCTAGCAATTGTTGATATTGCTTCCAAGTCGCTAAATTCACAGCGTAACATCAGCGGCGACTTTGGCAGCGCTCCGGCTGTGCAATTCCACCTTCGCCTCCACCAACCCAGCCGTATTCTTTGCATTCTCGTGTGACGATCTCTGCTTTTGCCATGTCGCAATCAGTTGTTCGTACTTATTTTGATTTCACAAATGCGATTCTTCAACTTGTCACCTACTTGCACATATATAGATGTATAAATGCTTGTATGCCTGTTTATTTATATGCAAGAGTGCATAACTATTCCAACAACAATATTCAATTAAATACAATAGAATACAATTCATTTTGCTATGCTGAGATGAATTGAACGATGGACAATTGTGCTTGTGGAGGGTGAGCAGGGGTGGTGGAAGAGAGGCGGTGATAGTTTGAAAAATTTGAAAATTTAATTTTACCGGCAGAAATAGCCCTCGGACAAAAACAAATCGACCAATGAGCAGCTGAGAGTGGCGAAATTGTGAAAACATGCTGCACCGCAATTCAACAAAACAATCTAAGCGATCCACCAAAACTGATTTCGACTTGCTAACGCCCGATTTTTCTTACTTTTTCACTTTTGTTATTGTTATTTGCCGTTAGTTAGTGTGGACAACTACAGCAAAGATTTGCTGAACATTTTTTTTTTTTTTAAATACTGCTCGATTCAGTTCGGTTTCCCATTACGATATTTGTAGTTAGTTGGTGTCGTTGCCAAAAAGGTGGAGAACAAGGCGAGGCAATAAAACGATATAAAACGCATTAGCCGCCAATTGCACCTCTCAAAACCCTAGCGTGCTGCTTGCCCGCTGCCCAAATAGTCAGTCAAATAGTCAAGTAGTGAGGTAGTCAGGTGGTCAGGTGGTCAGGTGGTCACTTGTGATTCTCGAAATGTCACACGATGCTGCTGAACAATAGAATAAATTGGAATAAGTTTATTTTGGTTTGTACATATGTACATAGATCTTTTGATTTTTCATTAAAATGCCTTTTGGTACGACAAATCTGTCATTCCTTACAGCGGCTGCAACAAATACCGACAACAACTAACTAGCGTATATGAATTTGTAAGCAGAAAAATACAGATATATGTATATGTGACTCTTGAATAAATTTATTTTAATTGCAAGCATTGAAATGTTGACCAGCCGAATGTGGCTCGCTGGCTATTTTTTTAGATTAAGTAGCGTGAAGGACTGTATTTGCCTGGGATTTCGCTACAGTAGCTAATCGGAATGAAAGCTGTTCAGAGTTTAATTTATTGCGAACACGCTTAAAACTAATTATTATAGTTTCATCTCTTAATATCCTTCATATTGCTGTAATATTATATTATATTAGGCCTTGTTATGAGCCAGACTGGGGTCTACGCTTTGAGAAAGTTGACTGCAGTACCAAAATTTTTTAAAATCCTTGAGTAAATATATGCGCACTTAAATCGCCATAACTGTTTCCTTAAAAAAATCTGCTTTAAGTCTTAAATAAATAAACAGTTTTCTTCCGCAACTTCTTCACAGCTTTTTAATTTCCGTTTAATTTATAGCAGCTGGTGGGTAAATCTGTAGCTGTTCAGTGTAAAAGGACAGTGCATTCGCGACTCTCTGCGATCGATCCCGAGTTCAGAGCAGTCCGGAATATTACTTCAAAGCATCGCCTTTCGTGCTACATCCATTTACACCATAAATATCCAGCTTTTCTTAGTATAACATTTGCCCGATGAAAATCACTCAGAAGGGTTGAAGGAAATTGAAGGATCTATTATGATTTGCTCACCAAGCGGGATATAGAATGATTCATATTGAGCAGTACGAAATGAGAAAAGTAGCTTTAAATCCCTGACCGGGCATATAAAAAAAAATTTGTATATAAAATCGTTTTCCATATGCTACTACTGATAAGCAAACAAAAACTCGTTAATTTTTCTTAAATGAAATTTATTTTTCTTTTTGGCTCTAAAGAGTGTATCCCAAGCTTTGCAGAAAAAAAATCTTGAAAGAATTATATGACCACAAAGAAGATAAGCTAAGCGTAGTGAAAGAAATTCTTCTTTAAAATATTATGCCATTAATATGAGGATTTTAACCCTCCGAATTTATATCCGTCTTGACTACGTCAAGACTAGACGATGGCTCACAACAGCTGAATCAAAAATTTGAAATGGTTGCTATACTAAACTCAATCAAAAACAAGAAATGCCATATTAAATTCATGATATTTCATTTAAGTATTAAATAACAATTTTAATGCATAAAAAATTGCCTTGAAGGAGCTACATGATGAAGTTTTCCGATGTGGATGACTTTCAGTGAGAATCTTTAAGTCCTCATACCAGAATGGGGGGTATATTTTATTGTCGTCCAATTTCGTTAGTTTTAGGTGACAATATGTAATCCACAATATGTATAAACAACAATAAAATTGACAAACTTATGACAAAAAATCTCAAATCCGAAAAAATCCATTTTATAAACACCAAAGTTGTCCGATCTGACCGATTCCGACCAACGTCCGACGAGACGAGCGTACTGACAGTAAGAAAGACGGGAATGGCTAAACCAATTCAACCTCGACCTGACCGTTATAAGTTTAATGGATCTATTTCTTCTCCTTCAGGTACTTACATGCTTCGTGTCAAAGTTAATATACCATTTCATGTACAAATCAAACAAATAACCAAATATTAGAGGAAAAGTTGAGCTCTATGATGAGAGATATGACTGCAAAGCTCTGAAGTTCTGAGCTTCTGTAGACCATAAAAATCAGTTGGTTGAAAACTCACAACAATGCTTCCAAAAAAATCTAATAAATTGCAGCTACCTAAAGGCTCTCTATTCACTCTGTATTCGTCAGCCGGAGCGTATGAGCAACATTTATTACTTTGCACCGTAGGTAAAATTCAATATGTATTACTTATCACAGGAGTGCTCGTGTTCATATTAATGATCTTATAAATTAAATTTTCTCACTATTTCTCTGCATTTCTCTTTATTTATCATCTATACATCGTTGCTTTCTCGGCGCACTCAAGTATCTCTGCTTACTCATATTCTCTTTTTCTCCAACTTTTGCATATCATTCATCAACTGCCGCTAATGATGAGCTTATTTTTGTTTACATATTCGTTTGTTTTCGAAACAAGTGTCCACAAAATTAAAAGGAAAGAACAACAAACAATAAAGGAAACCATAAGAAAATAAACAAAAAGTAATGAGCGAGACTAACAAAATAAATACAACAATTAAAATGCAATAGAAATTTAGGGAGGAGACAAAATGTGAAGAACAAAACATATATACATAAGTACAAATGCAAAAAAACAAAAATCCTTTGGTGTTTGATTTGTTTGCATACAATACAGACATTTGTTAGGCCGTACTGGTGAGGCATGAGCGGCATACTCAGTGCCTTGGCTGGTCCATGCCAATGGAGGTACTCATACTCATATATACATGCATACGAGTATATACATTTTTAGACCTTTTAGACATCGACGACACGCTGACAATGCCGGCCAAAGCGGCAAGGCGATCTACGATGTGTGATGACTATGACAAAGTTCTTGCTCTTCTGGCGATTGTGTTGCTGTGTTGTTTATAAATAATGTGTGTTTGTTGTCGATAATTATGTTGGGAAGCAAACGCGGCTGTTGACGATGCGTTAAGGCGCTGAGTGCGCAAATTGTGAGCGTTGAGAGGCAGCGAGTGTGCTTTCTTGTATTTACAGCGAAAAAATTCAAAAAATACATATAGAAATAAAAACAATTTTTTTTTACTCCTCGTATAGCCTAAAGGTGTGAAAAGATTTTTTTTACAAATCACTTAGTTTCATTGTTTTTATTTACATACAATTTTAGCAATAAAAAACTCTCATTTCGTATGTGTTCAACATAAATTCAAAAGCAAAAGTGTGAAATTAATTAAGGAAATATATTTTTTTTTCGTTGTAATAAAATATTTTGCTGTCAACTCAACAGCATAATAAGCAATTAATTAATACTAAAATTTATTTTCGAATAAATTTAAAATAAATTTTGAGTTTCGGTCTGTGTAAAATACTACTTTTTATGAGTTTTTAAACGTGAATTTTGTATGTGTGTGCGCGTGTGAAGCTCATCTGGATTATGGAAAGTGTTAATGCAACCGTCACAGCAGCTAATTTTCGTCAACAACAGCAACAACATCAACAATTACAACAGCATCAGCAGCTGCAACAACATCATCAAGAGCAACAGCAACAACATGAACATCAACAACAATTCTGTTTGCGTTGGCATAATCATCAGGTAAAACAAGTGAAAAAATTAAGAAAGATTAAAAATTAAATTGAAAAAAAAGAGAAAATTTGTTTATTGTTTTTGATAGAAAAATGTTTTGAAATTCGTTTTGCTTAAAACAGCTTGGATGGAGCTTTTTCATATAGAAATTTCACAAAATTTGTTTAAACAAAACCATTCATCGTGTAGAGTCCTTCTTCCGCTTTCATGAAGCTTTTTGAGCAGCTGATTGTGATGATCTTTAAAAGCGCACAAAAGCTCCAATCCGTAATACTTTAAACAACACTTTAGATGTCATTAGTACCCAGGACTATCGGATTCAAAGCAGGCAAAGTTGGTTGGTCATTCAAAGGCTGTGAAAAACTGTAGGTATCTCATTTTATAGCAGGTCAGAGTCGAAGATCGATCACTTGTTTGTTAGAAGCAGCTCGGAAGATTTTATTCGTTGCAAGTCTTGCATAAAGTATCTGTTTATCGCTGACCCATAAAGAGAGCTTTAACTATAAAGTTAGAACACTTGGACGTGATTGCTTTACCGGTAGACTCCATTAATCAATTGATTCAGTTTAGAATAGTGATTGATTGTGTAGGCAGATTTTAGATTTACAAACGTGTTAACAGAGAAGCGTCTCGACTAGGGTCCTCTCACTTATTCTATTGAATCTTACGCCGAATTCACTTCTAACAGACATTGAGGACGACACATATATGGCTGCGGCTTACATCGTATTTATATTCTCCACTCGTGGGAAATGGATTTTTGGTTAACTCAAAAAACGAGGAACTTGATCTCACCAGCGAAGTTTACCTGGAAGTTGGGTTAAAATTTTTAGTTCCCATTCTAGGCAGAAAACTGAACTGGAATGAATATTTATGCAGTTCAAAAATATCAAATGGCCTCAATCGCTCCATGTAAAGGACCTAATGGAAATAAATGGTGCATGAGACCAAAAATCTGTAGCTGAACTGTTGTATTCATAGCCAATTCTCTTTCGGCATGCAAATATTGAAAAAAAAAACACAAATTTTTGTGATTCATAGATTAGCTCGGGACTTGATTTGAGGATCAACACCTCAGAATGCAGCGCTTCAACATAAGCAGGCGCTCCCTATTGGAAATACTTAGCAAAAATATGCCTCGAGGACCGAATAAAGAGTTCCCGATTAAAAGTCTTCAGCTTTTCAGAGGCGAAGGAGGAGGAGTTCGGCCACATTTCACTGCAGCGATTAAAGACCGCTGCTATAAAATGTTTTGGGCAAAAATTTCCGTTGCACAACACATATGAACAAAACTCTCAGGTTGAGGCAAAAACCGGTCGCCGCCAGGCTGCAATTAAATCCCTCGGTTCAACCACACTTCAATCATAAATAGTGCTGAAATTTATAGGAGGTCCTTAAAGACAAAAACGCTTTGAACTTAATGACATTGCCTTATAGAACGACATGGAAAATGACTTCCTTGCTTCAGAAAATACAACGCACGCTAAAGAATGACAAGAATGGGGAAATGATTTTCCACCTTTATGCGTTTACCCTTTACTAGATAATAAATAGATTTTAGAATCCTGGAGTCGCTCTTAAAAGTAGAGAGTCCAAGTATATGAAGAAGCGGCCAAAATTCAGAATACTATTGTAATATTAAAAAAGGACTACTTTGGCCAGGGTGCGCCGTTATGTCTCAATATACCGCATTCCTTACCTACTGTCAGCATACTTCTGTTGTACAAACACTCACTGCATGGAAGAAATATTTAAAATGCAAAAAAAGGCATTCCCAGGAAGAGATTCCTTTAGAATCCAGTTCTTAAAATAAACCCACCAAAGATGTCACAACAACGTCTTCTCCGAAAATAAATTGGAAATAATTTGACTTGAACGCGCCCTGCTGTCAATAAAACATTCTTTGCACTTTTCCGCTTCGCGAAACATTTCACATTTTAAGTCAAAAGCATTTGGGGTCCGGAAGAGATATGGACAACGGCAACTGACAGACAGTCAAGCAGCGCAGTGAATGCGAAATAAAACAAATTACAAACATTAATTACAACAACACATTAAGGCAACTTTTACGGTAAAACGGCAACAAAAGAAACGAAATGTCAAAAGTAGAACCAACGGCTCATTGAAATAAGCCTCGCGCACCAACACCGTGGACACCAAAGGCAAACGCTTACATACATACTATGTATGTATATACGTGTATGTACCTACTCGTGTGTTCATTCGCATTTGCATTAAGTACATACACACATTGGACCGCAGTTAGAAGTGAAGAATTTCTTTTGGATTTTGGCAATTGCACGAAAAATTCAATTATTTGGAAAAATACTTAAAAGAACGACGGTGTACCAACTCGTACATATGTGTGTATGTATGTGTGTGTGCCCACTCGTATGCACTTGTGTGCTTTAGCGCTATGGCATGACTTCAAATGGTTTATTTAAAAATAAAAATGTCACCAATGACTAAGTTTTCCTGGTGTGCTCATTGGTCAACGTAACCTGGCGTGTGTATGCCTAAATTTAGGCCAACTGACCAGCTCCGTGATCATGATCAAATCCAAATATTGTTTAATTGAGGAAAAATACGAACTTTGGTATTTTCGTGTTCAACTAGTGGAAATACAATTTCTTAGGGCTCAACTCTCTCATCAGCGCTTTGAGCTAGAGTAGTTTTCTTGACTCGTTGGCGGTACTCTATGGTCAGGTCCAATCAGTTTATTGGCAATGGGCTTTAGTCCTCCACACAATATGATCGATAGAACCTTGCATACGATGTTGAAGAGGCTAGTTTCAAGATAATTAGCGCAGACTGGGACATTGCTCTTTTCATTGATTAGGCAGGACACACCAAGTGCCAATCATCATGCCTGCTTTCGTCCGACCACATCCTGCAAAATAGCATATGTATGCAGTCAGTTCTTTGCCGCCCCATTTGAATAGCTCTACCAGGAAGCCATCGGCTCGCTTCAGTTTCTTATTCTTTAAGCAGGTAATGGCTTTTCGAGCATCTTCCCCACCGGGTAGTGGAAATGTCTTTCATCATTCAACTTTCCCATCTTCTTGCACGGCGGTGATGTGTGCCCTTAGCTTTACTACGGCATCGACCAGCTGGTAACGGAAGCGGGCATTCCAACTGCATGCAATCAAATCATATCCATAATACGTTTGAACGGTCATCATCAAAACGGGGGTTAGGCATTTTGTTGATTTTCATTGGGGTAGATTTTTACGTGGCGGATGCCAAACTCTACACGCAAGCAGATATTGTTCTCTTTCTTACTTCAGCTTCTCTCCAAACGTGTGTTTTTTTGCTGGCTATCCAGAGGGTACTGTGTCTAAGACCGTAAGTTGTGTGCTGCTTTAACCACACCATGAATGTGAATCCGGCGTTCGCTAGCCGAGCAAGACCGACATTCGGAGAGAATGAGACTGAATATTACCAAAACTTGCCTTCAGAACACTTTTTCAATCTAGTTCGGAAAATCCAGATAAAAACATTCTAGCGCACCAACGCTGGTTCCTTTTTTTCGAAACATAAAATTGTATTCTGCCCTTTTTACAATAGCTTGGTCATACTGTTTCCTTACTATCGAATTTGCTTACAAATTTCATTGAAATTATTTCTGCGCTCAATGTTCAATAGCGTATAACTCAATTCTCCATTGATTCGTTCACTTACAGACCAGTCTCCTGAGCACACTGCCGATTCTACTAGATCAGTCACACCTCACCGATGTCACCATCTCTGCGGAGGGACGCACATTGCGTGCGCATCGAGTTGTGCTCAGCGCGTGCAGGTATTTTGTGCATAGTCCTCGAAGGATATCTTCGGAATTACTTACGCCGTTTTCTATTTACCCCATAGCACTTTCTTTCTGGAACTATTTCGTACACTGGACACAGCTAATCATCCAATTATTATTATACCGGGTGCTTCATTCGCCGCCATTGTGGCGCTGCTCACTTTCATGTACTCCGGTGAGGTGAATGTCTACGAAGAGCAGATACCAATGCTGCTTAGCCTGGCGGAGACCTTGGGCATTAAAGGTTTAGCAGATGTGCAAAATAATGTGAGTATTAGGTGTGATTTCACATAACTGTATATAACGTTATAGATTTCACGAAGTTACAGAAAACACACAGACGTGCACAGACGGCACCACCAGCACCGCCACCCCAAACGCATGATTTTCTGGAAACTCTGCGTAAAGATGAGTCCGATACCTCACCTTCGCCACCCTCACCACATCCCACGGTGTCCACCAGCATGGCACCACCTACGTTGCCGCCACCATTAGCTTCAACTGTGCCACCACCGAACGCCCAACTACCTCTCCTCTCGGCAACCACAATGCCAAGTGCATTCAATGCATCACTGCTCGGCAATAAGCTACCCACGCCACTGGAGAGCCTATTTCTCAAGTCCTTGCAGTTCTATCCGAACTTATTGCCCCAGCCGCTAAACTTTTCACAAACTGCTTTGAATAAAACCAGTGAACTTTTGGCAAAATACCAACAACAATGCAACAGTTTGTACCAAGATGCGCTAGGCATTTCGGTGAAGGACAATCCGCCTACGTTTGGCGGCGAAGAATACACGACAGCTACACAGCTCTGTGCGGGAGCTATTGATGACGGCGGCGGTGGTTACGGTGCTGCAAAGCGTTTCTGTTTGGGTGAAAAGCAGCGACAATTAACTGGTTCACCTGGTCAGCCGCACATATCCCACCTTCCCTTCCCACATCAGCCAACGAACTCCCCTTCACCCCAAGGCCATATGCCACACATCTTGTCCCATGCCCAATCAAATCTACAGCAACAAAAAGACATTAAACGTATTGACAAAATTGTGGACAATTTACGTAAGACACCGTTAAGTGGGGAGAGCGCACAATCAACACAGCCCCAAAGACAATCCCCGCAGCAGCAGCACCTACAGAGTCACCTCCAAACGCCTACATTGAGTGTTAAGACCCCATTAGGCAGCAACTATGCACCCACTTTGCCATCACCCCATATGAGTGGTAATAAAGCGCCTTGGTCTATCACGGCGGCTGCAACAGCTACGGCACAAAGTCAACTACAACAGCAACACCATCAACATGCTCTGTCTTATTTGAGCGCGGAAGACCAGGTGGCCAAGCTGCAGCAACAAATAGATCAATTTGCCAGCTGCAGCCGTAGTGCAGCATCAACAGTGACTACCACAACAAGTGTTAGCGGCAATGAGCCTAAAGCCCACCCGCAGGCCGATACCAACTTATTGTCGACATTGGCGGAGAAACCAGCAACTGGCACAGCGTCAAGTTCAAATGCGCCGAATGCCAGTCCACAACCGAAGCCGCCGTCGAACTCTAAGTTGTATGCGACGTGCTTCATTTGTCACAAACAACTGAGCAACCAATACAATTTGCGTGTGCATCTGGAGACACATCAGAATGTGCGGTGAGCCTAATTTTTTCTTAAAACATTTAAAAAATTTTGAAAGTATTTTTTTCTGCCACCAGCTATGCATGCAATGTCTGCTCGCATGTGTCGCGCAGCAAGGACGCATTGCGCAAGGTAAGGTTTGAATTCGTCCTATTTTTCATTTAAGAAGTTTGCACATTTTTTAAAACTTCTATAATTCTTTCAAACAACAGCATGTTTCCTACCGTCACCCAGGTGCACCATCGCCCTGCGAATCGGAGGCGCGTCGCAAACGTGCCACCAAAGCAGCACACGCCTCACCACCCGTCGTTACGGTCACCACACCAACAAGCTCGGTTGGCTCGGGCAGCGGCAACGTTACACCCACTTCACCAGCTGCAGCAGTCAGCGCGCCCTTTCAACTGAATCCACTCAATACTATTGCCACATCTGGTAGCACTACAGCGGCAACCACAAGCGGTATTGGTGATGCTGTCACGCCTACCATGGACGCGGAAGCACAAATGGCGGCAGCGGCACAATTAAGTTCTGCATATATGTTTCTACCGAATCAATTTCACTTAGCGGCGGCAGCAGCGGCTGCGGCGCAACATCAACAACAGCAACAACAACAAATACAAAATGCTTTAGATGCTTCAAATGCGACAGCGTTAAGTTTTGCTGCTACTGCAGCCTCATCTGTGCCAACAACAACAACCATCGCACCGGCTGCATCCAATGGTGAAGATGGCGGCGCTGGTTTGTCAGTGGTCAGCATCATGCACATCAAACGCGAGCCAAGTCCAGCTACAGATAGTCCGGGTGGCCGGCAACAAAGTGGCGCCAGCAATAATAGTTTGGGCGCTGGCGTTGATTTAAGTCCCGCAAATATGCCGTAATATCATCATCAATAACTTAGGCACAATTTTTATGATTTTAATACTATCAAAATTTTTAGTTAAATATTTATTTGTAGTCTTCAAAGCGGCTATTAGGTTTATAAGTCCTTGAGACCAATAGTTCACACAATTTATCCCATCGTTAGTCCCGGCTGTGATAATTAGTCGAAACCGTTGATTTTTTTTTAATTAATTTAAATTTACCTTTAAACCTTCTTTCATGTTTATATAATATATTTCTACAAGCACTAACGAAGTATTGTTAAGTTTTGGCATAATACCGTCGAAAAACTATAAAGACTTTAACACAAAAATATTGAACCTCATCACCAATAACGTTTCTTGATAACGGAAGGAAACGAAAGCAATAAACGAAGTGTAGCCACCCTGACGTGCAGTCAAGCCAAGGTTGCATCTCTTTTCACAGAGCAGTCTTAATTAAGCTAGGAAAACAACAATTGACTCTTTAAAAATACTTTTGAATGCTATTTTACTATTATTTACTTGTTTTAGTAAAATTAAAAATAAATATTGGAGGCTAGTCGATTTAACATAATCTTATACATGTCCCAGTTATATTTAGTCAAATTACTCGTACAGACGTAACCTTAGAGGAAGAATTTTATTTTTAAATTTTCTGATTTGTTTCAATATATTAGATTTCAAATAGTTAGATTGCTTATGACAATACAAACTTTGAATATCATTGAAGAATTAATGGAAAATGCAAAGCTCTTAATTGACTGTATATTTTTTGAAGAGTTGAAAGCCAAATGAAAAAATTGTTTAAGACAGTAAAGAAATAAATCGTTTATAAATGTTTTATTTAAACATAATTATATGCTAATATTTATGGATAAATTAAAAGCTGAGGAATAAATTTTTATTGGTAGTGCAATTATGTAGAAAGACAATCAGCAAATAGTTGTAAGCTCACTGGTGTATTTATATCAAATATATCGTCTAGTAAGATTTCTCAAAATTACTACATTTTAGACTGTAAGTTTAAAAAATGCACATTTTTATACAACAAAAATGACTTTTATACACAAACAACACACACAACAAAAGACAAGTATATATATACATATATTTAGTGTTTTAAATATTAAAAATTTTCAATAAATAAAATTTATTCGAAAAAAAGATTGCGTTTTTATTTTCAAGGGAAGAATGTTATGGGAAAATAACTTATTATTTTCATTAAAATTTTTTTTTATCTTTAATCATAGCATTTTCCTTTTAATTTTTAAAAAATGCAATTATTTATTTCCCTGTATTTTTAAGAACGTGCCTAAAATTATGCAAGCCAAATCTTGTTATAACACGCCATTTCAAAAAGGAACGCAAAAACAGAATTGTTTAAGGAAGATATAAATGTGTATTTATAAATAAAGTTAACCACTAAACATTCAACATAAAAACACCATGGAATTTCATGTTTTTTTGCAAAATACTTAATTTATTTTAGCTTGCTCTCACTTTCATACGAGCGTACGCATGAGCGCAATATTTTACAAAATTCTACACAGTGCATTTCAGTTTTTTTTTTGTTTTATGTTATAATGCAAAATAAATATTTTTGTATATATGTATTACAAATATGAAGAAAAAGTGAATTAAACTTCCGACATTGACTCCTACAAAAGTTAATATAAATTGCAAGTTGGTTGAGACCTTTTCCCAACCAATTTTTCAATACAGAATACGGTAATCAAACCTATAAAGCATAGATCTTAGATATAATTAAATGAAGAACATGTTTTCTACTTGTAGAAAGTGAGAAAAAATGCATGTAGTAATGTCGTTAGCAAAAAAAAAAGTATATGTAGTCTGTTTCAAAACAATCTTGTCACTATAGAACTTAACGAAATAATAGATTAACATCTGCATAAGTTAAACTGTTTGTTTGGCAGCTGATGTCACATTCAATAATTATAACCTCATTGATTTGTGTTGATGCAGTTGAGTGGCATCTATGAATATATGTATGATGGTAATGTCGGTGGGGCGTTAAAAAAAACCGACGATAGCAGTAAATTTGGCGTCGCTGTTTGCGTAGAAAAACATTTAGAAATATCTTTGGCGCCAACAAACGGTTTTCCATTGCTATAGCATACATATTTTAAAAGATTTTCGTTTTTGAATTAAGCAAATGGCGGCTAAATAGTGGTTAGTCATAATCTATTACTGAAGTCGTTGCGTTTTCCTTCACTTCCCGAATCGTCAATGAAATTATTTAGGTTTTGAACTTAAATAGTTTCCACTTCCCATACTTTGGTATTGCAATCTTGACCAGTTGAGATCACAGTGTTGTTGTCCAACCACACTAAACGTGTAATTTGCGATTGTGGATGAGCATCTGTTGCGAGAAACCACGAAAGAAAAATATATTATCACTGATTTTTGATATACCGACTAAAATCACTCACTTTTAATGATGGTGTGTTTGCTTGGATTGGTTAACGACCAGATGATAATGGTAGTATCCAAAGAGCCGCTAGCAACCAAAAGTGAGTTGGGCGACCAGGCCACAGTATTGACGCGCGCATTGTGGAAGCCCCATTCCTTGTTGTGTGCGAGCTACAAATTAAGGAATTTAGTACGTTTTCCAAAGAACAACAATAACATGCTTTTAACTCACTTTATACTCTTCGACAGCGTAGAGTATGACTTTGCGGTTAGCATCGCATGCTACCAAATACTTATTGTCCGGTGAGTACATACAATCGGTCACCGGTCCTAAATGTTGTAGTTCGAGTTTCTCCTCCAACGAAGTACCCTTAAGTGAATACACATGTACTTTGTGATCATCGCCAGTTACAGCAACGTCCAATGTTTCTGGGTTGACGGAAATGGAGCTTGCTTCGTATTTGATAGGCAAAGAGAAAATCTTCTTGTTGTCCTGTACAAGTGTCAGTTCTTTGACGCAAGCTAGCGCTATAATGTTCTCATTGCGGAAAATAGCCAAACCGCGTGGTTGGCAATTGAGTTTGACAACGTAATCGGTGTACGCGTTGCCTTCGATACTGATTTGACGCAGGCTATCATCGATACCGCAAGTGTAAACGAAATCACCCCAAGCAGCAATGCCGTTGATCTGGAGAAGGTTGAAATATTGGGAATTCAATTAAGAGATACAGGGGACTTAAAATAAGCTTGCGAATTGTGGCGTAGATAATTTTACTTTTGCTTTAGAAATAACAATGCATTTCTAAACAAACCAACGAAACGAATCTTCCTTCATCTGCGTACGCCATATTTTCTTTTTAATTCTTTTATTTTATATATTAAAATATCACACATATATATTTACCTGATTACCATGCCCCGTGCCAGCAACGCGGTCGTTTACACCGCTGCCCGAATTCCAATTCGTCACAACGCCATCATGACTACCAGTATATATGGTACTACGATCATCGCTCAATCCCAGCACAGTAATGGGTTTATTGTGACCCTTAACAACGCGCAGTGGCTTCGTTGGATCTTCAACATTCAAGTAACTAATATTACCCGACAACGAAACGGTGAGCAAATGTTCGCCTTGCCATAAACAAGACACCTGCTGATCATCAACGGTGGTGCCCATTAGAAATTCGTTAATTAATTCACGTGTTTCCACATTCCACAAACGACAAGTCTTATCTCCCGAGCAAGTAAGCAATTGTGTGCCATCTGGTTTCCATGCGACAGCATAAACACCACCCTTATGTGCAGGACTACCAAATTCACCAATCAATTCAGAGCTAGCGCCATCATAAAGGAAGACTTTACCATCAAAACCAGCTGAGGCAAAAAATTTGCCATCGGGTGAATAGCGTACGGCCTGCACGAAACGTGAATGTTCCTGTTTCGTCATTTTGAATTTGAATGGGGGACCCTCAAAGATACCGATGGTGTTGTCTTCGCTACCTGCAAATGCCAAAAGTATTTTAGCAAATAATGATATGCAAGCCAATAATTTACAACAAATGAACTTACCAGTTACAATACGGAAGGGACGTGCAGGACGAAAATCACATGAATTAATCGGTTTCGATTGACCGCTAATTTCACCCACTGAAGTGCCGGTTTCTGTCATGAAAACATGTCCGAAACGTTCACGCCCTTCGCCGACCACCACAATGCGCTGATTGTCTTGCGACCAAGCAATGTCCTTAATAGGACCGCCAATCGGCTGGAATTCATTCTTCAATATGTGCTCCTTGTTCACAGTATCCCAAATGCGTATTTTACCAGAGACGTCTGAAGCGAAGGAAAATAAGGTATTACAAATTAAAATTGTATGTTTGATAGTGAAAAAGATTAGATTATTTTAAAATTTCTATTAATCTTTCTTGTGGTGTGTTCAATAATCTGTTTGCATTTTTTTATAATTTTTCTGAGAAATTTCTTATCAATGCGATAAAGTGATAAAAAGGAAAAAAAATAGATAAATTTATTGATTTGTTGTCTGCCCGACGCTAATGTTTGCATTACACGCAATTCACTTAGAAAGCAAGTGACGGCTTTAAAATGGCAGCTGAAAGCAAAATTCAAGTCAAAAAACAAATAGAATATGCGCTCTAATTGTTCGAGCTCATTAACTTCAAGAAGGTAATTAAAGAGCAATGGATTGTCTGCCATAAGCTTCATAGGAAACTGTATGCTATATACTACCCATACATGCACAAATGCGTGTTTCTAATACAGTCCAATTACTTTTAATGGCTGATTTATACACTCAGTTATGTTTAACATAAGCGTTAACTCAGCATTTGTATATATAACTGTATTTTTGAAGCATAAAAAAATAAAATTATAAATGAATATGGGTAATAAAGTTTCGATAGGCCAAGTGAATGGTAAACCTTTAACGAAATTAAGAAATGGCAAAGTAAATACATCTGTAGTAAGCGGCAAGTACAACAACTATTAAGCCACGACAACGAATGACTCACTGACAAACAAAAACCACCGCAGCTAAAAGACAACAAAGATAAAGAAGCAGCCAATCGCCAAAGCATCATCAACATATGAATGGTGGGTCTGCTCAGCAACAGCTGTGTCTGAGATTCAAAGCGGCGACGTTTAAGTGTTTGCCCGACGCCGCTACTTACATATGAATGTATACAAACACATCTTTTTTTCCTACAAATGAGTAGCGTTTCATGCTGGCTAAGCAACGATAATAATGCACCATGAGCAGTAAAGTAAAGGGAAATGTGTAAAAAGTTATATGAAAATGAAATTCAAGCCTCGGCATAGATAAATGATATGAGCTGGCAAAGCGTCTTGCTAATATTACTGCAAAATTACTGTTGGAGTATTAGCGATAACGGTTTCGGTTTTCGTGCTTAAAAAGTAAAGGGACAAATATTTTATAATTATTAGGGCAACAACAGTAATGAAATATCTATAACTCTAGAACAATAAAGAAAATAATTAAATTTATAAAAAATATAAAAAGAAGTATTAAAAAAAAAACAAAAGAAATAGACAAAAAATAAAAATAACAATTATGAGTATAAAAACATAACCATAAAAAATTAAAAATAAACAAAAAATTTATAAGAGAAAAAAGTTTAGAAAAAAGAAAATTTTAATCAAAAAAAAAGAAATTGAGAATTATTAAAAAACAAAAAATAATAAATAATTTTATAAAAAAAAGGAAATATATAAAATAAAAAGGGTTAAAAATAAAATATAAAACTAAATATAAAACCAAATAAAATATGAATTAAAATCATTGGAAAGCCTGGGCTATGTTTGAGTTTGATAAAAAACAACAACAGGAGCAATAAACGTGCTTAGAAGAGCGTAACGCCTGCTGAAAAATGGTGGAAGAGATTGGGGCTACAAAAAGTCTACGAGAAATCATAATCATGTATATATCTATGTTAATCTGTGCATTCATTGCACTCAATGGCTGAAAACTGTAGTATATTTACATTTTTCTCATTTATATGTTAAAAACTTCATATAACCGAATTAAAAATCGTACTAGTTAATATTTAAGACTTTCTAGCAACTGTAATAAAAACAGAAATCAGCACCGTTAAATTTTTTACTTATTATACAGGTACATACATATTATTCTACATTAAAACAGTTTATACATAGCAACACGAGTCAAGCAGCAATTTAAAGTAACAAAAAAAAACATTTCATTCAAGATTAAATAATCAACAGCGTAGCCCAATAAGGTGTTTACCATGCAGTTCTTAAAATAAATTAACTACAGAAAATATGGAAGATGCATAAAAACTAGGTAAAAATGGATTTTTTTCTTCTGCAGCGTTAAAAAATCTTATTTTATTTTACTATAATCCTCTGTCAATGATTAACGCAGCTGTTTAGCTATACATCTACATGGTATTTTATGGATATTTATAGTACAAATGTAGACATAAATGTACATCATACCAACAAATGCATAAGTAGGCATCGAGTCGGTTTAATAAAAAAATGTCACAAATCAAAAGAATAAAAGCTTAACTGTCGTAGAGCAAATCGAACGCTTAAAGAACCTGTTTACTACATCAAGAAAGTACAAAAAGGTGTATTAAAAATATTTAACGGTCATTTTAAGGCTGAGAGACTACTAGAAATCTTTTTAAATAAATAAATAAATAAATATTTTTAAATTTAGCGACTTGTGACATTTATCTTTGCTGCAAATCACACACTAATATAAAGTATATTCAATATACCAAGAAACATACATATGTATGCATGTACGAATATTTACACATTTACTTACCGCCTGATGCAATGTAGAAGCCACTTGGTGAATATTTGGCTACATTAACGGCACACGAATGTTCCGTGTAGACATCTGCGATAGCTGGATTCTGTCGGCGACAATCAGTGCATACAGCCGTAGCAGACAAAATCACAAAATAAATGCACAAAAATTAATTTTCAAACAACAAAACCAACAGTAGCAGCAGTATAACAACAACAAATGTTTGTGGCAGTGGAAAATTGGTTGGTTGATAGATTCAGACAGGCCGGCAAGTTTTTGGTATATGTATATATTGTACATGATGATTTCGTTCGTTGAAGAGAGCCAGGGTCCGCATCCAATGGCCATAGAAATATTTCATTTTAATTTTAGGCCAAATATAAATGTATGTTGTTGTTATTTTTTTATTTTGTTTAAAGATGTAGATGGTTGTAGCGTATTGAAAACAAAAACAAAATTAACGTTGAAAAATTAACGATGACAATGTTTCGTTGTTTTTTTTTATTTAGAGCGATTGAATCATGAAAGTAGAAGAAAAAATGTTGTATTATTAAATAAAACAAAAAAGTATGAGTAACTATTATATATTGTGCTTATGTATAAAAATATATATGTATACATATATGTATTTTGAGCTTATAAATATTAGTTTCAAGCTGGCCGATAACTTTGGAAAAAATTATACTTTCTTATTAATACAATGCTTATGCGAATCTAGAGAAATTTTCGTAGGAAAAATAAACATAGACGTTAGTTTTTAACAACATTTGTGTTGGAGGTGCGTGGGCTTTGTTTTCCTAAATCATATACATATATTTTTATACTTTTTTCATAAGAGTGTATGTATACATTCAAACATATGTATATACATATATGTATGTATCAAGCCAGCAAATGCTCTGCTATTCTTCAGCTTGTTGGCATTTATTTAGAAAATGCTTGAAAATAAAAGAAAAACAAGAGTTTTTACACTGTATTACTGCATATGACGAGAGGAATCGGTTAAAAATAGAAGAACGAAACAAATAAATGAAACTGGGAATACTAATGGATACAATATTGGAGCAGTTTTCGGCTTTAATAAATATTCATTTGAATGCAGCTGCCAAAAGATATAAATAAACATTAAACACAGACGCATATTGAAGAATAGCGAATTCTAGATGTATGTTATGTGTATAATATGTATATAACATTGTGTAGGTAATACATATATTTATTATTATTTATGGATAGATAACGTACCAAAGAGTATCTTATGTGCTTATAAATATTAATATCTGAGAAAATGGAAAAAGTACTCACCTCAATATTCCTAATAATCACCGAATTTCCATTAGTGTAGAGGAAATTTTTACCTTTAGGATCGCCGCCTAGCACAATAGGCTGACCCCGTTGGGTGCGTGGCAGAGTGGTGTATATAAATTCTGAATGTGAGAAATATAATGAAAGGTAATGAGCTCATTTGTCTTAAGTTTTTTTTTTTTTATAAATATTTCAAACTATTTATAAGAACAGCGGGCGCTCAACAGGATATGGCAGATTAATATATACAATCATAATCACAGTAAATGCACAATTCCGTAGACTGGTGTTAGTATTGATAGTGGATGGGGTGCGACGACGGCAGCGTATCTTAGTAGCAAAAGCCGGCAGTACATCCATTTATTTCACTTCTCTATGTAGCAATGTTGCAGGTAAATCACTACTTCCGCTTTATATTGTATCTAAAAATGTATTTGCAATAAACTTTTGCCCATATATGCACATTTAGTGCTTCATTGTCAAAGTTTGTGTTGTTGCTTTCAAGCAGCCCCACCAGAACCCGCTCGCACCCACTGACTCATACTTTTTTGTACTCAAGATTTGATATCTTTTTATTGTTTTCTGCTAATGTAACCGGCCAACTCACTATTTTGATAGGCTGGCTTCTGTGGTTGCGCCATAGTTATTGCTTCGAGACACTAAATTTTGTGAAATTTGAACACTTTACAAAAACTTAATTGACTTTTTTATTCAAAAAATTTGATTTTTACGGTATTTGGCAATAAAAAATTGATCACCGAAAATTAGACCGAACAAAATCGAATTAAAATTTTTTGCCTTGCTGCAGTGCAGTGTTGCCGAAGACTGAATGAATTGTACGCGCATCAGAGTTGACTAATCAGAATTGGCAGTAAAAATTGTAAATAAAAGTAAAGCAAAGGGTCTCCGCAACTCTTAAATCTTCGTTTAACTATTCGCCGGCAGATGACGCACCAAGGAAGGTATTGCATTTAGTAAATATAAATTTTCTTTGCAATTACAAATATTTTGAAAAAGAGTGTTACTATTTCTTTTATTCAAAAGTCATTAAAATTTTGTAAGTAAGCTCTTTTTCAGCCATTCAGATACCAATTAGAAATTCCCTACTCGTTTTGCTTTCGGAACTTTTCCTATAGGATTATAAGAATCAGCTGTTTTTGACATTTGTGAATTTGTTTACGAAATGATTAAGAATTTGCTGTAGCACTTAACATTAACTGAAATTTTCCATTTAAAATGCTTCAAACTCCAGCTGTAACATTTGTTAATCCACGCTACGGTCAACTGGTCATAGGACCACCTGGTTCTGGTAAAACAACATATTGTCATAATGCATACAACTTCTACAAAGAGCTGGGACGTGATATTGGTGTCATCAATCTCGATCCGGCCAATGAGAATATGGAATATACACCAATAGTTGATGTAATGCAATTGATCACCGTTGAATATGTTATGGAGCAATATCATTTGGGACCAAATGGCTCACTTATGTATTGTGTGGAGTATCTGGAAGCACATCTCGAAGATTGGTTTTTGCCAGAGCTGCGTAAAGCTAATGCAACTTGTAATTATTTCCTTTTCGATTGTCCTGGACAAGTAGAATTGTATACACATCACACCGCTATGGCAAACATATTTGAACGTTTACAAAAAGAAGGCTATCATTTGGTTACAATAAATCTTATCGATTCACACTATTGCTCAGAACCAACAAAATTTGTATCCACACTGTTGTTAGCTTTAAATATGATGCTACGCATGGGCTTACCACATGTGAATGTGCTTTCTAAAGCGGATTTGTTGCGCAAACATGAATCGAAACTACAATTCAATTTGGATTTCTACACAGATGTATTGGATTTAAAATATCTTCTGGAATCGCTCGATGACACACCATCAATGAAAAAATATCGCAAGCTAAATGAAGCTATATGCTCAATGGTAGAAGATTATGCCTTGGTATCTTTCCAATTGTTGAATGCGCGCAGCAAGGCGAGTATGTTACGCTTAAGAAATCACATTGACAAGGCGAACGGCTACATATATAAGGCGGGTGAAGAGACGGCGGTGAATTCATTATTAGCATGTGCTGTTGGCGCCGAAGCGGAGGCAATGCGTCAAGGACATGATATTGATCCGTACGTAACATGAGGTGGTGCGATGACAATTTAATGTAATTATAGTTTAATATGATCAAATACAGAAATGCTTTAGTATTTTGTAAGTTTAAATGATTAATAATGTGCTCTTTTTTTAACGGTTTCACACAATAATTATATTAAAATGAGCTTTGTAAATTGTATACTTGTGCTAATTGTATATATGTATGATTACATGTAAGTATATAAATATATAGGACGCTTGTCTTGTACGTTAAAGGTACGTTCATGTTTAGCATATTGTAATCTGGAAATTTGTTTTTAAATTCGTCAGCGCCTACCAATAAACCAATCAAAAATCGCTTAACAATTGCTATAACACAATAAACAGGAAAACACAACTATTAAATGTAATCAAGCCAGAAGACACGATAATAAAACAAGCAAGCTTGTAAATATGTACTTTTCTAAGACAAACAATGCAATCAAGTTTCTTGTGGACATGTAAACATAGTCTATTTGTCAGTTCGTTTCGAACAACACTCAGTCAAACTGTCATTTAAACGAAAACCAAGTAAGAGAGCAGTTAGTGAGGCGTGGCAGTAAGTCTGTTAGCTATCAGCTCAAGTTTGTTTATATTGGTATATATAAAATAGTTTTTAATAATGCAAGAGTTTGTTAGCGACTTTTGATGTATTTGAACATGACGTTTTCACATATACATATATATATGTATATGTAAATGTATAAATATACATACAAAGAATGTGTTATAGCATTACAGGACACACCTTTCAACGGGTCGCCTTGCAAAACACTAAACCGTCAATCGAAGTCAAAGTCTTTTCCACACGCTAACGCTTATGCTACAGTACATTGTTGTTGTTTTGTTGTTTGGTCGGTCACATTATCATTTGTAAAATCAAGCAAACCAGCGTCATAATAACAATAAAATAGGCAAAATGACTCGTTTGCTGACTTTAACAAAGGAAGTCGCCAATACATACAGACATACGTATATACTCTCATATATATGTTCACACATATATGCAACCCTTGGCCGAATCTTTGTTCCAGACAGTGACTTAAGCTGTCTTTCACGATGCATATTTATGAACATTGACGGAGCGCGCTTGTTTATATACATACATATGTACGTTTGTATAAATAGCTTCAATCACGCAATATGGTTATTAAAATCCTTGTTGCACTTACCTACACTACCTACATACACACATACATACATGCATACAATACATACGAGCAATGCATCACCAAGTTTATCCACCTGTCGCCTGTGCCATACATATTTATTGCAACATTTAAATATATTACGAACATACATATATGTACACGTATGTATGTATGTGCGCAGTTGCATGTTGTAATGGGCGTTGCACTTTCATGACGGGAAAAGTGCATAAATATTATTTAAGTGGCAAATAAAAGTTGAACAACTCAACGAGTAAAATTGCAACATTTCTTAATTGTGCAACAGCATATTGGCCACAAGCGTGCCAGAAGCTACTACAATGGACACTTTATCTACATACCAACATACTTGTCTGCGAGTATTTGTTTATGCAAATGAAGTTTGTTGCACTTAATGAAATAAACACTGACATATTAAGGTATTTTGCTCCAGCAAAGCGAGTGCCAGAAAGTATGCAACGTTTTTTTTTTATAAATACAAAGGTCTATATGTGAAAGTAAGACAGGAAATTTTAAATACACCAGATTAAATTTTGGTTGAATTTTGCTGAAATCAATCAAATATTTTTTCTCGCCTTGTGTGAATCGCTGGGAGAGAAGGTCTATGCCTGCTTTTTTCAGACTGGGCAAAGAAGGAAAGCGAATGCTTGTTGTAGTATCATCTACAAACTTTCAGTGCTTTTGAGTCTTGGCTCCAAAGTCACGGCCATAACTTTGAAGTTGTAGACAATCTCGTATATTTAGGAACCAGCACCTCCTTCGAGATCTTACTCAGAATCAATCTTGCCTACGAGTGCTACTCTGGACTAAGCAGGCAATTGAAAACGAAGGTTCTCTCCCCCTTCTGTATGATGGAAGGGCGCTAGGAGTTTTTTTAGCGTAAAGTCTTCCGTAAGATTAATGTCACTTTGCCTATTACGTGGAAGATAAAACGATTAGCTGTACGGGATGTCAATGAAATAGTTCAGCTAGGTTTTGTCATACGACTGAAGGTATTCGATACAGTACCCGCTGGTAGATGCAGTAGAAGAAGAGAAGACCTCCGCACCGGTGAGAGGATCACGTGAAAAAAGAACCTACCTACCCTTGGTGTCGTCCAAAGTCGCCGAATAAACACATGATATAAGAACATGAAGAAAAAGTTAAGTTAGGTTCCATTGTAGACGGCTGACACAGTACTTAGTCCCTATTTGACAATAGTGTCGAGACGTTCATCCACCATGGTGAATGCCAGAACTTATTAATGTCGTCACTCTTCCATCATAAATCCAACCTTAAACCCATAAATGACCGCAGTATTATATATGCCAAAAGGGCCCACCTTCTTCCGTCCTTGCCCCGCCCTCGCACGATGATATCAGCCTTTGGCCATATGAGGACATTAACCAGCTGGGTCGTTGTCTCTTCCAGTTAAGGGACCGCACATTTCAGGTGCATGCCTTCAAATCGTGATCCTCAATTCATCCGCATTAGCATCTACTTGCCTCTCCATTTTCCATTTCTGGAAAAAGAGTTCTCCTCTCAACGACATCCTGCTGTTTTTCAGCTATTTCGTACCATCAGTCTTCCCACTAGGGCGCTCCTGCTCTATATTCTCTTTATTACCACTTTCCACCATAGCTGAATGGATTTACGACGCTAATAAACCCTGAAACCAGTGCAGCAATTAGAATTTACATAAATGGCTGCTTTGAAAAGTACGAAAAGCAACAAAAAAAACTCAGTCAAACCATGAGACGGCAATTCATAATCGCGAGCGCTGAGCAGCGTTCAACAGAGGCACGGCAAAAGATTAAGGACAACACTCATAAGCAGGCTGAGAAGTATAAACTAAAAGAAACTGCACTTCCTTGTCGGCGCTTAGTGAGGCGACTGTAAACAACAACAACAACAACAACAGCAACAACAACCACATCAGTGAGGCGACTGTAAACAACAACAACAACAACAACAACTATTATTTACTAAGCAGCAGGAACACTTCCTTTTCAACCAAACTCAACTGACATAATTAATGAAAATTAATTAAAAGCATAAATTTCGCACTTAGCCGCTGGCGGTTTAGTAAATACAAAACTTGAGAAACAAGAGGAAATGCAAAAATAAAAACAAAAAACGTAAGAAGGAAAGGCAAAAAACGAACAACAATACTATATGCAATAACAATAGCAAATTGCTGCAACGCATGACTGACGACAACTCGAAGGCGAGACGAGGATGAGAATACGATATTTTCTTGGAAGGGTGGAAGAAGGTAAAGGCAAAGACGGTAATGAAGAGAAGTGCACAGGAAAGAGGGAAGCAGAGAAGCGAGGGAGAGGTGGAGGGAGAGGGAGAGACAGAGAGCGGGTGGGTGAGTTTAAAAGCGAGGTTAGTTGCACAGACCAACCACTACTATTTCTTTCATCTAATGCACCAACACACTCGCAAACATTCCGCCGTGAACACATAAAAAGCCTAGGCGCCTGAATGTCAAGCATAAAAAATCCTCTTTATGCAGCAAATACGCCGGTGAACACATACACATGCCACAGGTGTCGCCAAGAACAAACATACGCAGACGAACATTTTTACACATACGTGCGGTCATATTCCTTACTTTCCAGCCTTTCCTGCTCCTGCATTGTTGAGTTGACATAACGACTTGGCCTGTTTGCCATTTGCAATTACGCATTAATTCTAAAACAACACCCCAAAGCCAACGGACAACAACACCACCATCACCAATATGTGCCGCAGTTCGCTCTGTTCTGGTGTTGCCAAGGCTGTGGGGCGGGGGGTGAGCTGTGTCAAAAAACCGGATATTCAAATACTGTGTGGTGTAGAAATTGTTCGCATTCAAATGTTAACGCATACATGCGAAAAAACAGCAATAATAATAACAATTAACAACAACAACTAATGTCCAACACGAACCGGCGACGGCAAACGGCGATGCCACCCATAGACGACAGCATTAATTTATTTAGTGCACTTTATGACAAAGCAAGAGCCTCAAGTGTGAGTAGTGGTAGGTGGACTCTCCTTTGTTGTTGTTGTTGTAATTGATGTTGCTGTTGTGTTGCAATGGGTGCACTGCATGTGGAACAGTTCGGTATTGCATTGGTCAAATTGCACACAACCAATGTTTGATTGAGTAAGGCAGCCGCATATACCGAATGGTCAACAGTATTTACTACCGTGCGTAGGCTTCTGGGCTGGAAACCTGCGCGGGAAAGTTTCCAAAATAAAAGAAAATTAATTTTTCACACTGGACTCATCCCTCGTCAGAAAATGTCAAGACCTTCTTCTGACATGAAACAGAAGTTCCGCAAAAAAAATGATCAGCCATACTGAGCTGACTTAGAATAAATGGCTGGTCATTCCATTTGTTGGAAGAACATTAAAATACGCTCACCACATATTGGAGGAGCTCATCCTAAAATCTCTCTATCTATTTGCTTTTCCACCTCAATAAGAGCCACAAGTCCACAATCCTTCAGTTGAGCTTGACACCTGCTAAAATACCGATTTCTGTGCTCTAATCTCAAAGTATAGCCCACAGTTTATTAACATTTTCCTTAAATAGATGGCATTGGTTGACCCTCACTTTTCGAAATATTTCTCTGTGGCCGAGTCGCTTGTACCTATTTGGACTTCTTTTATTGCGGCGATCAAAACTCTATAAACTTCAGTAGGCTCCCAGCCATTATTGTTAGTGTTAATACGAATTCTTCTCGCTCATAAGGATCAAATCTGGATGAGTAGGGGAAATCTATTGTTAAGAACGACCACATCTCATGGAACGCAGATGGATGGAACGCGAGTTTAGCGAGACTTTGGAGATGAATTGTCGTTCAAATTTCTTGGTATTTCAATTCTTAGTCGCTCTGGTTCCGTCTAAGTTTTTCTTTCAATAGAACTCAGTATTTCAGCGTGGAAAGGGATTCCTTTCACTCATATGGGACACATGCGGGTTCCAGTCTATCAAGTATGAATAAGACTTGCATATCCAGAAGCATAATTACATCCCATAGGTCGAAGGGTAAACATGAGCTCAAGAATTAATGATAAGCTAAGATATATTCT